AGACCTCTCGAAAGTCTGGAATCTTCTATTTTCTGTTTGATTGCAATAAACAAGCCGACAATTGAAGTCGGTTTACATCAAATTGGTATCAGAGCGGTAAGATCCAGCCATGGCRACAAGGAGTGCGGCAACAAGAATTGAAGATTTAGAAAGTAGCGTCGGTTCGATCGAGAAAAGTTTGGAGCGAATTGTACAGCAGATTGAGAAATTAAGCAGCGATGTGGCTAGTAAATTGAATTCAACAGGTTCGTCGGATGGAGAAGACGTGGACGATTCAGGAAGATCAAAGAGGAGGAACGATGAAAAACAGGAATCGAGTCGATTCTTAGCTGTGAAAGGCCGGAAACTTGAAATTCCAGCGTTTGACGGAAGCGATCCAGATGGTTGGGTTCTCAGGGCAGAACGTTATTTCTCTTTGAATCGATTATCACAAGAAGAAAAAATTGATGTTTCTTTCATAGCATTTGAAGGAGCAGCTTTGAAATGGTTTCAATGGGAGAATAGACGTCATCCAATTTTACGTTGGGAGGATCTTCGTAGATTGATTTTACGTCAATTTCGATCAATGGCGGCAGGAACTTTATGCGAACAGTTTCTGGCCGTTAAACAAGAAGGTACGGTGGAGGAATTTAAGATGAAATTCATGGAGTTAGCTGCACCGTTAGAAAGAATTCCAGAGGAAGTGTTTATGAGTCGATTCATAAACGGTTTGGAGAATTCAATTAAGGCCGAGGTACGTCTCTTAAATCCTGTAACGTTAGAGGAGGCGATGGAGTTAGCAATAAAAATCGAAGTGAAGAATGATGTGATTGCAAAAGAAACGTCGATATCTGGATCAAAGAAATCGTTAGCTATGTTAGCCGTTAATAGGAGTATCCCCGGTAGTACTAATTTAGGGAATAATTCAAATACGGTGGGTAATTCGACGAATAGAACGGGATCTGAATACAGAAGATTGTCCGATCAGGAGGTACAACAGAGGCGAGCCTTGGGTCTCTGTTATCGTTGTGATGAGAAATATTCACCGGGCCATAAGTGTAAGAAGAAGGAATTGAATGTTTTGCTGGTTCAAGAAGAAGATGTAATAGAGTCGGGTGACAGTAGTCATGAAAATACAGCTTTAAACGCAGCTGATGTGGTCGATGTGGGTCAAGACGTKGAGGTTCATCTTAACTCGGTGGTGGGATTAACRAATCCTAAAACCATGAAGATGGAAGGATTCATTGAAAACCAAAAGGTTGTAATTCTCATCGATAGCGGTGCGACACACAATTTCATTTCGAATGAGATTGTTAAAAAATTGAATCTCAAGATCGATCAGACGAAGGAGTATACGATAACGATGGGGACGGGGAATAAGGTGAGAGGAGATGGAATTTGTAGACATGTTATTTTGGCGGTGCAAAGTTTAGACGTTGTCGAGGATTTTTTGCCCATTCAATTGGGTAATAGCGATGTGATTTTGGGTATACAGTGGTTGGAAACTTTGGGATCAACCTATACCAATTGGAAACAGCAGGTTATGAAGTTCACAGTCGGAGGAAAGTCCGTGGCATTGAAAGGTGATCCAGCATTGGGTAGATCTTTAGTTTCACTGAAGGCTATGGGAAAACTAATTCAACAGGAAGGTCAAGCGGTGTTAGTGGAGTTAGGGGCTTGTATGTTGACAAATGAAGGTCAAATGGTATGTTTGCATGGCATACCAAGTTCTATAATTTCTGATCGTGATAAAGTGTTCCAAAGTATATTTTGGAAAGAGTTATTCAAGCTTCAAGGAACAACTTTGAAGTTCAGCTCAACCTACCACCCGCAGACAAATGGACAAACAGTAGTTGTCAACAGGGGGCTGGAACAATACTTACGATGTTGGATTTTAGATCAACTGTGTCGGTGGAGTAGATGGTTACCGTGGGCTGAATTGTCGTACAATACAGCTTTTCATACAACCCTTAGATGTTCTCCTTTCAAGGTGTTATATGACCGAGATCCATCCCCTTTGTTGAGATATAAGAGTTCMTCTTCTATAGTCCAATCGGTCGATATCGAATTGAAGAATCGGGTTGAAATATGGGATGAAGTGAGAATACATCTCTTGAAAGCCCAATGTAGAATGAAGCAACGTGCCGATTTAAAAAGAACAGAGCTGGATTTGGTTTTKGGTGAGTGGGTGTTCTTGAAATTGAGACCATACCGACAGAAATCATTGATTAAAGGGAACAACCCAAAATTGTTAGCAAGGTTCTATGGCCCTTATAAAGTGTTGGAGAAGATTGGTAAAGTCGCTTATCGTTTGGATTTACCAAAGGAGGCGAAGATACATCCTGTTTTCCATGTATCTCAACTTCGAAAAGCTATGGGAAATTGTGCATCGTCGAAAGACATTCCAGCTCAATTGACTGAAGAATTGGTATTACAAGTGGAACCTGAATCTTTGTTAGATACAAGAGCAATTGTGCAAGGTGATCCAGGAAGCTTAGAAGTTTTGGTTAAATGGAAAGGGTTACCAGATTTTGAAGCTACTTGGGAAAATTTAGAAGCCTTGATGCAGCAGTTTCCCAACAGTCACCTTGAGGACAAGGTGAAAGCTTTGGGGGGAGGTATTGATAAACCTCCTATTCGTTTATTCGTTTCACTTACAGGAGGAGGGGTTAGTGGGTAAAGGGTCTTAGCTGTTATTGTAAATAAGTGAAGGGTATTTTTGGTACTCTTGGGTAGAATAAGGCGGCAAGTGGAGTGGGGTTGTTAGTAGTGGAGAAGTCTCCTTTAAGTGGAGTGGGGTTGTTAGTAGTGGGGATATTCTGTTTCTTTGGTATTTTCATAGGGAGTGTAAACTCTTTGGGAGAGAACCAGACCTCTCGAAAGTCTGGAATCTTCTATTTTCTGTTTGATTGCAATAAACAAGCCGACAATTGAAGTCGGTTTACATCAGAATCCTTTAAATTTCATTGAATTTCACAAATTAATGAATTCATCATTCATTGTCATAAGTGAATGAATTTAAATTCCATCCCTTTGCATTCAATTTAATGAACAACCTACTGTCATGCCCCTACCACACTAGTATTGGCGTCGTTACAACTGCCACTCGCACCCACCTTGCCACCATGCCACTAGTATCGTCATTAGAACTACCTCCCCTACCCTGCCACCCACCAACACCCACCCACCATCCGAGCACCATGTCACTACTATTGTCACCACAGTTATGATCCCTTGCCCTAACCCTCCCCACTCTCACCCCACCGACCACCATACCACATTTATCGTTGTCACAGCTACCATCCACTAGGGCGGGGACTTGTGCGAGCCACTGCCCCAGCATCACCCACCTGACCATCTACATGGGTGGCGAAGGCGGAGGGGATGGGTGGTGGAAGGGCTGAGGGCGCCGAAGGAGGTGTGGGTGTGTGGGTGGGGTAGCAGGACGATATCGTCGTTAGAACTACCTATTCCCCCTCCCCCTCCCCCGTGCCACCACCCAACCCTACTATTCTCCAAACAAATATTTCCTCACTAGAATGAGGATGGTTCTAAAGATTGATATGTATCGGCATTCTATTTGTCCTTAAGAATGTTCAACACGAGAAACTTATGTAGGTCTCCAATTAGTTAATCAGTTCCCATCATGGACATAAAACTACTTACCAATTGCATTACAATCTAACAAGCACCACTCCGAACCAATAATCGGGTGATGATTGTTTTGGTTGGATCATGTAATCTTATACTACTAGCAATTTAGACGATTATCAACTGAAGTAATGCTTGCTACCAAGAGAAAGCTAATTCTAGCAATTCAAAATTAGGTTGGATAAGTTAAAGGGATCCAACTAACTCAACAACCTAT